ACTAGTGGGCTCATAGCCAGTATAGGATTGAGTAGAATATTCAAAATCTGAATCGGGACCACCTGGACAGTAACTAGATACAATGACCGCAGACAATTTGTTAATAAATGGTAAAGCATTTAAAGATCTTTACGCGTATAAGAGAGACTTTGACTTACACACAGACGTTGCCTGTCATTGCAATATGCGGACATCGGTGCGGTTTACACATCACTGCTACCACTGCGATCTGATGTTTAAATGCCAATATCGTTAGCACAAAGATCAGTTTTCCGATCAGACTATCATTTTATAGCAACGTGACTTACTCCACTTGCTGTTCTCACAGGTTTAGCTTTTAACTTTGGTAATAGTGCCTTTCTATATGCTTCAGGTATGGCAGCTATTATATCAACCAATTTCGGTTGATTTTTTAATTTATTTCTCTTCGAGTACTTTGTCTTTAAGCCATTGAGATTAACGTCTTTATTGTTCTCATGTGCAGTAATTAGCTCGTTGACTATTTCTGCGCAAGCCTTCACCATCAACTCTGTCTTTACAAAAAATGATATAAGAAAATGGTCCACATGGGCGGGCGTAAAGGCACACAAAGTGTGGTTATTGATAATACCTGAGTGGGACCTTTATTCCACAGAACAAGAACCGATCCGATCATAGATGCATTCAGAAGAAAAGTTTGAAACGTCAATTGATTATGCAATGTATAGAATGGTTTTTTCTACATCATATACTGTATAATCCATACCCTTTCTCTGTGTGGAGGCCATATTATTTGATGGATACGGAAATTCCAGTTGGGAAATTTTTATAGTGCAGCATAACGACCGATGATTGGCTGCGGCTGAAAGCATGACGTACATTGTATGAACATAACAGAAATTCTGGCATAAAATCAGGCTTACTGTTATGTTTAATGGATTGTTAGTAGATTGGTTACAGGAATGGGATCGAGTAATATCTTTATTTTATATTATCTTTGTATCATAATAGACCAATAAAACGAGCAAATTGTTTATTTTGTTGTTTCCTAAAAGACACGTCGTTGGCGAAGTGTTAACTGCCTTTTCCCGTTATCATTGAACTTGTCATTAATTCTAATAAGATTGGTATCATAATTCTTTGCACACAATAGAATAGTATATTTCCTCCAACCGACGATTGGGTTGCCATCATAATAATAAGCAAATTTTATAGACTAAATTTCAAGGCCGTATACTTTCGCTCTCAAAATTTTGTGCATAGTTCTACCAGAACTGGTTTTTTTATTCATTGCATTATTTCAAATGGCACACAAATGAAGAAATTTTGGAAATTTTGCTGACAGGGTCAATAGTAATTGGGGGATGTCTACCACACCAATACTATATGTTTAATTATCACTCGGCAGAATGGAAAATGGGTAATATTAGTTATAATAACGTATGAAAAAGCACATGAGCCCAGGCTCATTACTGTAGTATTTTCTAGGCAGTCGGCCTTTTTCTAAATAATTTTGATAGCTCTATAAAAACGCGCTACAAGCTTTATTTAAAAAAGTGAAAGGAACACTATATTAACTTTCATAAACTGGATTATCGACTTAATTTAGCCATTGAGCAATATAACTTTTGTTCAGATACAATAATAGAACTACTACTATTAGAGCAACTATAAATAATAATCCTTAATCAAAGAGCGTATTTATTGCACGCCCCGTTTATCTAGGTCAAAAATATGGCTTGTTTATACAGCCATATTCCATACTTAATGGCGAGAGCGAATCTAACAACTTCAAATCTTATGTTCGTGCTTGCAATATACGCTTAATTAATTGTTCAATAAGTCTATTGTTTGAGATACTTCAAAAAATCCAATCGCGTATACTTTACTTTTTGCAGACTATTTATAATTTTGCAAACACGTGAATTATTATTATGTGTATTGGTCGAATTTAAGGTATTGTACATGTATAATAACGTAATATTCCGGTTCTTACGTTGTGAGTGTTTGTATAGTGAAGCATCCAAAGTCTCTTTGAGTTTTGATCATTGGACATGTTGTCGGCTCAAGTTGATGAATTGTGACATACTTATCATCACATTCTGCTATGCTATAGTTAATTATAAATAATTCGCGCTAAGTCATTGTCAACCCAACATCTTACAGACTTGCAACGTCGGAGAACACATAAACGATTGGAATATATGTACTATATGTGGCTCGTTTGAACTCTGTCACGACTTAGGTTTTATTTTATGCTCTACCATCAAACTACGGGCGCAGGGCGAAGGGTCAAATTTAATGATAAGAGACGAATGCATGCTGGTTACGTAATTTCCTTATAGAATAAGCGATGTACACAAAAAACCGTATCATTTTTTTCAGAGAGAGAGAAAGAAATCTACTAATCCGCTCTTGGGAAGTGTGTAATCGAATATTCAATATTTAATCGTAAGATTCATACGCGGTCATATTCTTTGTATAGGAACCCTAACGCTGGAGTGACATAATACAAGTGCGCGACCGAGCCAGTATAATCTAATTGAATAATGAAATCGAAGGCCATAGCCGAACACCAAGATCTTAGAAACGAAAGAATGACATCACACATAACAAAAAATTTGAACTCCATTATTTCACGTATGCTCTATTACAAATTGTAATAAAAATATTTTTATAACACAATTTTATTGTAAATAGTCATATTATAACGAGCGTGGACTGTGTATAACGATGACACAGCAAAGTCCGGTTTAACGAAGATTTTATTAACTTAGAAAACTATTGAGTGGTAAGACAAATGTAGAGAATTAATAGAAACGTAAATAAATAAATTTTACTGTAATGAAGTTTACGTTATCTCATATAAAATACGTTATTGAGATAAAAAGTCCGCTTTAACAAAGTTTTTTGCACTATTAATTTTGCATTAGTTTCCGCAATGTTTAATAACAAAAAATTCAATTCAAACCACCATGGTTCTGAGCGATCACATAACAAAAAAAATTATTCTGCTTGTCGTCTCGGAGGTAGAGTCCGATTATAGAGCATTCGCGATATCCAACAAATTCGGCATGTGAGAGATGTAACATAAATAAATGTTGAACGAGATTTCTCCATGATTGTACTTTTGAAAACTTATTCAATGTCGTTACCATCAGGATCTGTTAATGATCCAGCAATTGACAACTTGGTTCGAGCCGCTTTGAAACAAGAAACGGAAAGGAACATTATGACACAAAGTAATTGTAGAAAAGTTGCCGAAAATAGACACTGGCGGGAGGTAAAATTTGGACAGCAACATTAATACCGAAACTTGGGAGTAAAGCGTGATGGCATTTAATATAATTATTTATAAAGTGCGATTACGTTATTCACCATTCAAAATTACGGTGAACAAAAAGCTGCGCCGTATTTTTATAATATTTAGCAGGAAATTTATTGATATTAGTGTAAATACTGGTTTGAAATAAACACAAGAAACTCTGTCAAAGATTGAAGTCTCGAATAATCAATGGATGTCAAATACGCGATAGTAAAATTCTAATTGTTTTATTTCTGAAATTATTCACTTATTGCCAAGGTATATGATCATTTCACATTGTCGATAAAGCACTGTTCTTGCTATTAACTGCAGTAAATGTATAGTAATGTAATTAATTAAAGACTGGCAATTGTGCGATTAGCTCACCGTTTAAAGTAAAAGAAGAGAGATTACGATCTAACGATATACGGCTGTTCATCTACACTTTATTAGTACAACATTAAAAGTATAGCCGTAAAATTTTATTTAAGATAAAGGTATTCATGACCATTCTACACCAGGCGAATTGCGTAGGATATTTGTATTAAAATAATTTTCACTCAACGTTTAACCATGAAGATTTTTGCATTATCCCTCGCTCTGACTGCGATAACCTTTACTTCCGCTACATCATCCCAACTGCAAGGTAGATACAACGACACGTATGTAGCAAGGAATTTTGTCGGTCGCATCAAAGCATTTTCTTCGAAAAAATATGTTACTACCAACACTGTGGCGATTCATATTATTATCCATGTCCGGGTGGTATTTATTGTTGCTCTACAAACTATACATACTTAGTTGACAGCTTGCGCCTTGCCTTGCAGTAATGAAGATACTGGTTGCGATAATGGTTTATGCTGCTTACCTTACCAAACTTGCCAACCTGATGGCACATGCAAGTCGTTCAAAAGTGTCGCTCCTAAAATAGATACGCAATTACCCAACAAACCTTTGGCGATGACCATTGCCGTTTTAATTATGTGTTCTGTCATATATAATGTGAATATGTCTTTTACACTTGTAGTCATTTTATATTATTGGAATCTTTTTGGGGGAGGAGGTTTTGCCCCTAATCAATTAAGAATAATTTTTAAAAAGAAAATACGTAACAATTTGTATTATTTATGTTTTGTTAAAAATTGGCGAGAAAAGTTGTTGACGTCTCTGTCGTTATTCTCGTTTACTATATAGGGAAATAGTCACGTCACTCGAATTTGAATTAGCAATGCTCCTACCCGATTTTATAGTTTGAAATTTCGTCGAAAATACTTTTCCCGAGTTCGGTTTATGGGGGGTTATGTTACTTTTGATCAGTTTTTCCAATTAGGTTTTTATTGAAAATTATTAGCAAAGAACATTCTCCTGCAGAATTGATCTTTGCCAGGTATTTACGGCATACATTCCTATGAAAACTACCTCTAATGATGTTGGCATGTTGAAGATATGTTATTGGGATACAGATTTCCATCATATTGCGTGGCGTGTAGTATTATCATTGCCACTTGTGCGGTTAGTCTTTACAGTAACGACAGTACGTTCGAGTGCGTGGTATTAGTATTGATATTATGTAAATAAATCATTAAGATTTAATTATTAGTGGATTGTAATATAAACAAAATATTTGCTTGTGACTTGGGGTCATTATACGAACATTTTTGTTGGACAATTGAGATAAAATGTCTATAACATGTGTAGTGAGAAGTTGCAGCATTCAATGCTGGACATAGCTATCAACTACTCATTTATATCATAAATTATTTATCGTTATTGACGTTTCAACGAAGACAAAAAAGAGCAAATTAATCATTGGCGTTTAGTTAATCAGAATGTGAATTTTTTAATGTGCAAAACTTAACACAGTGTACATCAAACCTGGTCATATGTGGTTTTACGTGTTCGTTATTTTGTTGTATTTATTGGTAGCATGTAATGATTGTGTTAGATAGATGATCAGGAAGTAAGATGAAATAGGATTTAACTGCTTATTCAAACACGTAATAGTAATCGAGTAGATATGAGCGGCGCAGCAGATCATGTGTTGTTATTGGTACATTTATAAACCGTTACCAAATCAACAGATCGCGCTGACCAAATTCAAGACAAATATGCCGTTACAGCTTAAAGTTATATTTGACCCACCTCTCTCTAAATCTTTCGAAGTAGAGGAACCAAAACTTTTGGCTATTGGTAGCGATGTCATGTCTGTTCCTGATGAAGAAATCGGAAAAGTACAAGGTTGGTTTCTCTGGATGCTTTTCATTTGGTAGAATGGTTAAATGACAAAGTAATTGATCAACCCTATCAATTAATCTTTCGGTTAGCTTCTTTCCAATTTTATTCGGGCGGAGTATCTGTCACTTCGGTAAATAGTATTCAGATAAGGATTTTAGACACGTCCATAAGATGAATGGTTACAAGAATTCACGAACGTCTGATTAAATCTCTAGTTCGGTCCTATACCAATGACAAAAGGTAATGATAGTATACTATATCCAAAGGAAGTCGAGTTGGAAGACGGAGACAGATTTTGTCTGGTCAAGGTGAGAAATCTTTTCGAATTTTAAAGAAACAGATTCATTTTTTCTCAAAAGCCGTATCTATACAATTGCGCCCATATGCTGCGTAGGAAAAATATCCATTCACAGTCAGAATAGCGAACGTATCAAATACTGAACACATGTCGGACGATTCAGTTGAAAATCTCGACGAATCGTCAACCAAAGAGCTGTCATGCGATCTTCAAGATCTTTATCTTGGTGATGAAGACGACGATAGTGCGGTGGTTCATAATCGAAGTATATTTGAAGACGTGAAATTTTGGGATCGTATAATAGAAGCTCAGAGGACAGGAAGGCTACACGGTCGTAATGATGTAACCGCAATGGTCGAGTCTGAAGAGGACGAGTTAGATGATGATGGGACCATCTCAGCCGAGAGCAGCTATCTTGGTAGCTATGCTTCGTTTGATTCCGATGATGATGGTTCAGATACAAGGGAAAGGAAACGCTGGAAAGGAGACCGCCCTACTGTAGCCGCTGTAGCTTTGACCGGGCCCATGACCTCGCGTGGTGTACGGGAATCCGGAACTAATCAGGTAGTTACATAATCTAATAACCTTCTTTAAACAGTAGGCATTATTAACGAGCTGTTTACATTTGAACAGTGGGAATCGCTGCGATCTTCTGTAAACACGAATATATCATTTGAAACCATGGCAGATCGTGAATGAAGGAGGCTAGTAATTACAGAACCCTTATCCGGTTTCAAGCCAGTATAAAATTTGCCATCAACACGTTCAAGTATAATACAACAACGACCAGTACATTGTTATTTTATAAAGATAGATTCACCTTGTATTCCTTATTGGCTTGTACGTTGTCATCCACTGTAAGGTAAACTTCCGACTATACAATGTTATGTTCAGATAATTCGAGACTTTTGTTTACTAATAGTAACAACAGGTGTTGGTAATTGGACACGTTCAATTATTGTTTAATGCATTCAACCATCACTTACGACTATGGAAATTGGAGAATCGGTTCATTTAGTCGAGAAAAGTTAGTATGTGTTAATGAGCTTGGAAGGAGAATTGTCTGACATACGGTTTTGACATGTATTCGAAGTGAGTAAATTGCTATGTTATTGTTAATTATAATAAGGCAAATCGATTGAAACGCACTTTTAATATCTCTATTTATTGTTGCCCTGGAAAAAGAAAAATTCAAATATTAAGCATTAATTACATTAACTATTACTGTGTGCCGTGTTATTTGTAAGCCGGGAAAGGTGTTATATATATAGATCGTATCAAGTGAGTTGTTGAAATGGAATAGGCATAACTCAGTTAATACCTGCCCTTTACGTAGCTTAGAAGTTTTTGCCAGATGATCGCTTATTTAGTCAGCTACCTTACATAGTATTACTTCTTATTTGCCTTTTTTTTTGGCGAAGAAGTTCTTTCACTCGGACTGGCACTATAATGAAATCCTCACCATGCGGGTCTATTCTGCCTTGGCTTTCATTTGTGTACGGTTGACCTTAGGAATCTTGACTTGTAACATGGTTCGCGCCATCTTCACCACCCCGCTTAGACCGTCATCTGTTGCTGGTATGTCGAACTCGGAAAATTTGGCTGAAATGTGGGATCCACCGCCAACGTAATGTCTGAGAGCCTGCGAATGAAAAAATTTGACGAGATGAATCCGGGTATTAGCAACTTGTTGAAAGCTTGCAAGACTGTCTGCATTCCCACCACCTGTTTCGGAAAGGGTGTCAACTAGGGTACGGTGCATGTCGCGAACGGTTCTTTGGACTTTGAGTGAGTTATCTAAATTTTTTGTGCCGTTTTCAATTTTGGAGCCAGCCCTTTCGCACAGCGAGAGCTCTTGGTCCCATGCCAAATCCTTGGCTATATCGTGGCGCTGAGAGTAAGAGTATGGTAATCGGCATCGCATACAATATGTTAAACGAAGAGCCAATCTAAATGGTATCCTTCTCCACTGCATTCATCCGGCGATGTTGAGAAGCTCTAGAGACCACTTCACCGCTTATTACATTGGAATATAAAAGATCTGTGAGCGTTAATAATGATATGCGGTAAAAATCTTATGGCTAGACTTACAAGTGTCTGTCAACGATACCGTCAAAGCACGAAATTATTTGCGACTTGATGAAAATGTCGATATCGCTTGACGCTGTGGTATCCGCTTTTTGACCATCTCCTGTCTAATTAAAGTTACGGTCAAAAAAGTGTGTTAAGAGAGGACCAAATTATCAAAGTCAGAACAAAATTTACGTAAAGCGTAGCAGCTCCGATGATGTAACACGACACGTTGTCATTTTGGTAGTCATTTTCGTCAGGAGCATCGTCGATACCGTTTCTCGTTGCCAAAGTGATTTTGTGCGAGAAACGGATTCTCATTCTCTTTCTCTGCTAGAAGATTTCGTAGCTCTCTAAGCGCTCCACGAAATTCATAGTGTTCACAGACTTTCTTAAGTCCTTCCCTTTCCAACTGGAAGACAGAATGTCCAATATAACGATATGAACTAAAATAAATAAAAAAGATCTCAACCACAACCTTTGTCAGACATCTTTCAACTGGTCATCCGGCTTCGTCCAAGCCACATTTCGCAAACCTGCCGTGATGATGCTCCTGATCTCAGAGAACTCTGTCTTGGTTACGATGCTGCAAATTGCTTTTAGCTCTGTCAGATCAATAATGCGCCACCACGTTGGCCTAAGGGGTTTAGGATCCGTTGGGATTATTATATACTGTAGAAATCGAGAGATTCAAATACTTACGTCAATATTGATTTCCAGAATCCGTCGGCGTTGCTAACAATTGACGATAGTCATCGATTTTCCTAAGCCGGGATGGTACTTCGTAAATTCCCATAGGCAAGTTTTCCTGTCCGCATGCCTAACAAAATGTTGGTAAGTTACTTGTGCTGTTGTGATTGAGCCTACCCAGTTTGTTCATTTCCTATGTAACAGAGAGACGGCTATACCTCATTCATTACCTCATTCATCTTTGGAAGTGACAAATAGTTCCCTTTTTTGTGCCTTCTATTGACAGCCTTGAACTTTGTCCCAGTGCGATTAACGTCACACAATTCACACATCAAAGAATCAAAAGTTAGTGAGCAGTTATAGCCTTATGCCCATCATTGACGGAATTATTTACCTTGTCACTAGTGTTGAAAAGCATCCGATGCTGAACCCCTTGCGAAGTTTGTTCACTGAGGTCCACGCGCTGATAATTGTCATCTACACCTTCCGCTTGCTCTATAGAATCTTGATCCACATCATTTAAACACGATTCCGAAACCATCTGACATGATACCAATGATAAAACAAAACATGAGTATTGGCGCTCCAATGATAACCCAATGATTTGGACTTTTCATACCGCTTGAGCATTCTCCATCACATTCGTAACTGTTTTGACAGTTCTCGTGGTTATGACTTTCATCTGTAAGTTTCCTCAAAAATTGTTAGCTGCTGGTCTGTTAATGACTGTAGAAATCAAAAACAATACCTCATCTAAACACAGCTGGCTGTGGCGCTGTGGCTGTGCGGTGTGGCGGGGCCGTAACTCCACTCTTTTCCGCTTTCTTGAAACTTTGGCTTCCATAGAACAGTTTTCGATCGAACGCCGTAAGATCAGGTGGCACGTAGGCACCGCCATAGTTGTGTGAGCATGAAACCCCTTCTCGGGACTCTGGAGGGCTCCACCTCTGCAAAAGAGGTCGATTATGCAAAATCTGCAGACCATGACAGGATGACACCCCTAACGTAGCGTAGGCATCCACCGTAGCCATGGAAGTGTATTTCTCCTTCTCGGGACTTAACAGAGTCTTTCATATGGCCACCAGTGAGTATCGTGTCGCGTAAAAAGAAACACTCGCCTTAAATTTCTTTTCAATCGTTCAGCTCCTTGCTTGACGTTATCAACTTCGGTTTCGATTATGAATTCAAGGCACAAATTGAAGGCCTCAGACGAGAAATTGAAAGTAAAAATCGCTTTGATTCCATCGGTATCGAGAATCTATGGTTCTCGGGTAGAGTTTGTTGGAACAGTTGACGTTCTCGATAACGTCTTGTCAAAAGGACATGCTAAGCTCTATTTGCCAGCGTTAGGAGACGGAATGAAATTAAACCTCCTGATAGCTTTCGATATGAAATTTTTTCTCAGATCAACGCAACTAGTATACGACGGGGAAAAAAATAATGAACGTTCTCGCGCGCAACTTCTGAACTCGGTATAAAATTAAGAAATTGCCAAATTTAGGGCAGGTGACATGTATTAATGTCAAGTGATTAAGGGTGGCGTCGGGAAAAAAATAAAACGGTCGCATTCTATAGATGCGCTCGTCCATTTCAGCATAACTAACCACTGAAAATGGAAAAACAACAGCAACGATTTACACACACGTCTTGACGAATAGAACAAAATTTAATCGTTTAAATAGGAATTGCCTTACATTCCCAAAAATGCTTTCTAATAAACATATCGATCCAATTATTATTTCTGAGTCATGTCGTCATATTTAATTATAAAGGTTGGTAAGCCCTTGAATAAAACTCGTAGATTATTTTATTCAAAACTTTTAGTCACTAAACCAATAAGACAATCGACAAGGTTAATACTGTAACGTTATGAACAAGTAACAACTGCTTTCGTCATACCTGCGGCTGAATCTAAATTATAACTATTTCTTGGTTTAGGCAAATCTCCTGTAGGTAAAAGTTTACTAGAATATTTACTCTCCTTCTCGAGACGTGACAATGGTTTTACATCGTTATGATAGATAATATTCCATGGGTTTTTATCAGAATCGTTTCTTCTAACCCCTCTAACAAGCTCGCCAATATGACGCCAAAGCGCATCAGGACGCTTATCAGGATCAGCATCGCAACAACGCTCGGCAAGTTTCTTGTATTTCTCTGGTGCAGAATCAGGCATCGATGGTCGTAGTCCGCCCATAATATCGCATACCAAATATTTATCGAATTGCCTATCTCTAAAAGGTGGTTCACCAGTAGCAACCAAATACATAA